CAACCTTTTAAGTTTTTTGTTATTAGTTATTAGTTATCCCTGGTAACCATAGTATGGAATATAACATGCAATGAAGTTAAACGTACTTCAATGAAATACACTTTTTTAATACTTATATTTCAATTTGAATATTCCTTCATATTCTTATATTTTTCCATTAAACAAATTTCAACTCTAAACCACTGTGCCATGTGATTTGCAAGCCCGGCTACTTGGTCCTCTTTGTCCGTTCGTCAGACAGTTCAGCTTGGACCGCTTTTAATGCAAATGCAGGGGCAAATGGGCATTAAGACCGGCACAAACCGAAGCTGGCCGCAAAGTAAGCTGCTGGACGGGAAAGTGGGAGAGGGGGTAGCGGAGGGAGCTGGGGATCGGGGGATCGGCTGTTAGGGGGCGGAGTTGGATGCCGTAGATACTCTGCATACTATGAGATACATTGTGCATCTTTTATGAGATGGCAACGACACTGCACCGACTGTGGGCCAATGGACCTGGAGTTTTGGAGTTTGGAGTTTGCATTAGGCTCGCTTTGTGTCTGGGCAAATGTTTCGCCATCGATTAGTTTGGCTGCGGAATTGGCAAAAGCCACACATTGCCAGAGAATCGAGAACCGGACGAATTTCGAGGTAAGAGCTTAGAGTGGCAGATCCCATTCGGAAATCTTTTTGGGGGCGCGCATTTGCATTTTGTGGGCTGTCGGCTTTGGAATGGTAATTGGTAATTCTATAAAGGCGCCGTTTAATTGATGAATTAACGTTGCACTCCGAAATCCCTCAAACCCGATGGTCTAAATGCATCATTGCCATACCCATTGTACGAGTAAGTGATATGTGTCCGTCTATATGCATATATGATGGATCTTTTGTGGTCTGGTCGGCTAGCGCATTTCATGTGTGTCCACATAAGATAATTCGCACAGCTGACGAGGCATTCAGACGTGTATGCATCTCAATTACCACATTACCAGCTTAGGTTTTCCGCATGTACCGGTAAATAATTGTGCAGATTCATCTTGGGAACAAAGCCTACAATTACCATCAGTGAAATAGTTAGACCCAGAATTCAGAGGGAAAAACTTGGCCTAGTTGTGTTACATTTACAAAAGTATTTCCATAAATTTAAAGAACTTTTTGTGATCAAAAAAACTCTAGATAATTAAAGTTTCTTGAAAAACCTCTTAAAAGTTGTTTCGACTTAACAGTTCTAAGAAGAAAAGTAAATATATCTTGTAATATTTTTGAGGGCGACCTTTAAGACATATTATTCCTTTTTCTCTTCCATTTTTAGAAGAACTAAACCATACCAAACTAAATGGCATTTTGTTAAATTGCTCTACATATATCAAAGTAATTTTCTTACTTTGTAAATGACATGCAATGTGTTGTACTCCCATATATTTCACCCAAGCCGTTTTGGATGCCCTTAATTAGTAGCAACAATGTAACTTACGCATTCTGGACTTCGTTCGGATTCAGTGGGTTCTGCTTTGCAATTTGAAAGTTCTATAATTCCAACTTGAGTCTGTCGAGTGCAAAATCTTAATTCTAGATCTGAGTAGGAGCTTGAGGTTGATGGGGTCACTTGAAGCTGCCAACGGATGCGCAACTAAATCGTCCATGTCATCACACACAGATACGCACACACACAGACACACACACACAAACATTCAGCCGGGGAAAGTTTCCCCTGACCTCTGGCAAACCAATTCAGACACCCACCATTTCCACCCGTCTCCCCGCCCTTTGACCCCTGCACTCTCATTCGCATTCGCATTCACATTGCATTTTGCTATCCGTCTACACTGTTGACTTATTTGCTTTGAGATAAACGCCAAGTTGATTTATACAACCCACCGACAATTCATTCAGCCATTTGCACCACTCACCCGCCCAGTCACTCACTCACCCACTCACCCACCCATTCAGTCATTCATTCATTCATTCGCTCATGCAGACATGCAGTCAAGCGTACGAAATTCTTGTTTGTTTGTTTCTTTATTCATTGAGCAAGCAGCCGACTTCCTTGCCAGGGAGCTTGGACACGGGCTAACCGAGCTAGCAAACTAGCAAACAATAAGTGGGGAGTGGACAGGCCAGGATCCGGAGAGCGTAGGAGTGGCAGGATCTGGAAGGACCCTACGTGGCCACTTGGCCACGTCACTCGACAATCAATCCTCATCGAGGCGGCGTCGGAAATTATTTTCACTCGCATTTGCATTTCAATATTCACCGATTCCCAGCTAGAAGTTTAGAGTAGTCTCTTTAGTCTCAACTACACAGAAATAAAATAGACAACAGAATAATATTTCTTTATTTGAATAATCAAAAGAGTTTGGAACATATTTGAATTATATTTTAACTATTAATTGATTTTATTTAAATATTTAAAAAACACAAAACCAGTACCTTACTGAGAATTTTATAAGATTCTGGAAAATATCTCTTCTTGCTCTCACTTTTTTTTCTGTGCACCACCTGAGTTATAATTCAATCAAAGAAGCAGCCTATTTATATAATTTATGGCTTGATTAAATTAGACAATCACCAAGTATTACCCAATAAATGTAAACATAACTAAATTATGTAAGAATCTCGTGCTAGGCTGTTAAGCAATTGATTTGCTGGCTTGTCATTAGTTAAGCTCGTTAGAGGTTCCTTTATTTATGGTTTTGATAAGATTTTGGGCGCAGCTGGTTTATGGATTCGATTTTTTCGTGACGTAGGGTAAAGTTCAAAGGGTCGTCATGGGTTTTGATTGATTATTGTTATTAATGGTTTGTTAATCATGTAAAGGTCACACAAGGGTTGATTATCGATTAAAAGAGACTAGGTAAATAAATGGATGGAGTACAATTTACATGATAAAGAATGGAAAGATATTTTTTGGATAAATTAAATGATGATAAATAAGTACCCTTATAAACCTTATAAAACTGTTTTGATAATGTATTCTTATTTGCTGAATTCAAATTCTTTATAAGGTTTATTCTCTATAGATAACTGAAATTCGGAATTGGGATAAGAAAGTTGAGCAAGTTAGAAGGATTTGCATAAGCCATCTGGAAAGTTTCCAGATACCCTGCTTACCACCCGAGCATTTTGAAGGATCTAATGCGTATAGAGAGTAACTACCCTGCTAAAACCACGCTTTTGGCCATGTATATTTAGGCCTTTATGTGATGGCGGCTGAATAATGGCGGCTTGTATGCTTAGCAGCAATTAATCAGCGGAACTGTCCGCACCCAAACATGCGTGAATACCCAAGCGCCCCACCACAGTCAGCGAAGTCAGAAAGAGATAGATAGATAGAAGAATATGACAGAGAGAGAGAGGGGAGAAAGGGATAGAGAGTGGGAGTAAAGCGAGCGACCCTAAAAATGTTTTGCTGTAATTAACTTAGATAAACAAAGACGCCGAAGGGACATTCGCCTGCAAGTGCGACTATGTCCTTCAAGGACCACCACCACCACCCCAAAAAAGAAAGGAAAGAGAGGGAAGAGGTGAAAGAGATGGCAGATAGAGAGACCAAAGAAGCAGAGTAGCATTGCCTAGAAGCTTCCGTTCTCGTCTATATATTCGCCGGCATACTTGGCAGGCTGCGTTGAGAAAAATGATTGCTCAAATAAATCATAATTAGCCATGTAAACATTTAACAGATGCAGGCGTATGTGTGTTTGTTTGCTTACAAGACAAAGCGATATCATAAATCGTTCATTGAGTCCAGACTCGGGGTATAAAAATTCATTTCTGTACTTTCCACAATTGCCTGACAGCAGCAGCCACTAAACTTGTACAAATTTATTGCCACGAAAAATTAGTTGGCAAATCTGCATTTGAATTGTGCCCAATAAATCACACGATAACCATATCATTTACATGGCTGAAACCCATAAATCTGTAAGATTGTTGGTATTCAAATAAAGTTCGTATTCAATTAAGAAATCATTGCAATATCATCACCCATTCACCTGTTAAAGGGTCCATTGAAATCGATAAGCCTGCTGAGTCATGACAATCGGATTAAAAGCCCACTTTCTTGCTGGCCATTGGGTCATCTGGTCATCATCTGAAGTTTATCGCCCCGCACATTGACCGCTCGTAAATTTCATAGAATTAATTACTGCATCTGTTGGCTGTTTGTGGCTGCTATTGTTCTTATTATGATTATTGCTATTATTGTTTAACTGTTTGTGCTGCTCTGCCGTTCTGCCGTTCTGGTGTTCTTTTTATTTCTGCCCTGGCTTAATGATGCATGAATTACTGGAACGTGGGCGGGTCGTCCTATTCAAGCGAAGGGTCGAGGTCACAATTGCTCATGTTGCATGTCATTCCCGCTCTGCGGTTCATTGACTGACACGCCAGTGTCTGCTTGGTGTTAACAATTGATTTCTTACCTCTTTACCGAACTCGTTGAGAAAAGAGCTACGTATGTGTATACTCGTAATTACTGCTGACATCTGTGAGTACCTGACCTGTCTGGGCCCCTGGTAAATGATTCAGTTTACGAGCTCCTTGGGCATCTTTAATTGGACGGATGCGTGTGTGAGTGGGAGATCTTTTTAATTGTTCTGGGAGTGGGATTGATTTAAAAAGGTTTTTTCCCCACGATTGGCTTCTTTGGATCTCGGAATCGATAGACATCTTGAAAGGGTTTTAATAGCATTTTAGGGCGGTGTAACAAATAATCTACTTGAGTGCCTTTAACACATGTTTAGTTTTATGGTTGTTGTTTAAAAGACTTTAAAATATATTTCTTTCGTACACATTTTCCTGTTAATTTATACATTTGTATTACTTGTTTTAACATGTTCTAATGAAATATGTTCTTCTTTGTCGTTTCAGGTATGTAAATTAAAGGAAGTTGTCAAAAACGTTTAAAAAGAGTCGGTACTTAACCTCTTTTACAATTTTAACAATGTATGTATGTATGTATCACTTGCACAAAAGGAATTTCGAACGTTTTCGTGTGTGAAATTGTATAAAAGGTCCTTTCATTAGGAGTTTCGGTTCACCTTTTCATTTTATTCCACAGCTTAGCAAATTAAAGTTTGGTGGGATATTTGATGGCAGCATGAAAGCTTAACCTTACACCTCCCCCGGGATCCATTTTCTCCTACTTTTTTTCGCAAAGTGTCTGAATGTTGTCGCCATTTGCGTTGAATGCAGCAGCAACAATGGGAACAACCACGCTGCGTAATAGAGTCGGTTAGTTGTCCCCACCCACGAATATATACGAGTATATTTTATATACATACATACATATATATATCGAAGGACAGCTGGGGGGACTTCCTACCAAATTGGCTTCGGGCTGAGTGGGGTGAATTAAGTCTTTTCAGGGAGTAGTCAGCACACAACAATGGAATGTCGTGCTATCTCCTTGCTGCACAATGTTAGAGTTGCACTTAACTTCAGACACAGGAAAGCCGAGCTGCACAATAAGCACAAGGACAACCGGAGAAAAGCTAAGCAGGATGCTGAATGGTCACCCCTTCATCTCCTCTCCCCTCCCCTCCACTTCACGATCTCTCCCCCTCTCCTCCTTTTTTTCGCTCAGTGTTTATGGGTGAGTGTGGGGGAGTTCTGACAAAAACAAAAGTCACATGAAAGTAGCATGAAATAGCTGCAGTTTTGCCGTTGCTGCTGCCGCCGGGAAAGTCAAGTGCCAGGCGATTTTTCTTACACAATAATACACTTTTCCCATTTCGCTGACAGGGCTCCACTTTAATATCCTCTAGCGAAGTATTCCGAAGGTATGATTATTGTCGAGGAAGGAAAAGGAACGAAATTGTAGGTACCAGATTTGTACATTTTAACAATGAAACTGTGACGCTTTTCAAAAAGATTACACATGAACTTTACAAATTTCTTATAGAAATGAGTTTGTATTCAATAGTTCGTATTACGTGAATATTTTTAATTACATTTTACAAAGTTAAAAGCAGTTCCTTCATATGTTTTCATGTTCCGAAACCATTTATATAAATACGAACTTAATATTGGTGGGACGATCCATAGAAGCCCCTTCAATTTGAATGCCTCCGGGGTATCGAAAGTCCTAACCCTGAACCCCCACGAACTTTCTTCGTAATTTTTACCATTCCGTTTCATCTGCGACTCCACTCATCTGAGACATTTCTTGCACATGCAGCGTGTGACGTCACTTAGCTCAGACAACTGTGATAATGATAAAATTAGATTATGGATGCTTTTCATTTTTCACACCCAACACGCTGCAGCTCTCCCCATTTTCAGATAGATAGAAGTTGTGCCCGGGGTGCGGAGTGCCGGGGTTTTCAATTTATGGCTGCCTCCCATGTGGGAATTCCATGCGGGTGTTGTGCTGAAAAATAATTACCATCAAAGTTTTATATTACACATATTTATTACCAGCAGACTAGAGGAGCTGACAAAGGCGATTGAGGAGGTTGGGCAAGAGCGTATCTTACGGATACGAACAGTCGAGTGGAATGAAGCGAAAACTTCAAATGAAATTGACAGTTTTCTTAAGCTCATTTGTTGGCAGCAATCGGCGATGACTTTTGTGCGAGAGATACGGATAAAAATGTATCTCTATCTGTTTGCCGTTCGAATGCAACAGTTGCAGTTCAACACACATGTGACGATTATAAAAGAAATTCCCTCTTTCCGCTCCTTCAGCTTCTTGACTTGAACGAATTCCAATTGAGAAGCTGTACAGCATTATTTCTATATTTGTCTTTGCCCGTTTGTCTGTGCAGAATTCGACACAGTTTCGTTAAGTAATTGAATTCAATTGTATCTCCAGTAACCATCATCGACTTCTGCTCAAGTTTAAATGAAAAGCCAAATGTCGATTGAACTCTCTTCAACAGCAAATTGGTTACTGTTTTCGGTTAGATTTCAGCTGCTGCTAAATTGAAAACGAAATCGATACCCTAGATGAGGAATGAAATAAATTGGAAAACGAAGAAATTAGAAAGACAGCTTGTTACACAAATGTGTAAAGATATGTCACAGAAAAAGTATCCGAGCATTAAATTAAATTAATATTTTAAATTAATGTTGATGGCGTGAACATAATCCGTAAAGTAAAGTATAAATATATTTAACTGTAATGCGTTGGTAAATTGTATTTACCAGCGGTTTTGATCATAAATAATCCATTTAATTCATATTGATGTACTTATTGCTGCTAATAGGAATTTCAGGCGTTTGAATTTTGCCTGCCAAAGTAATTATTTTCATAACGTTTGACCTGCCATTTATTATAAACAATTTAACTGAAGAGATTCGTTTAAATTTCAAATTATTTCAATCAGGGTCCGCATCCCCATCGCTTTTCCTCCACTGGCCGCAAGCACGGCCAGCGAAATGTTTTCCACAACAATTATTTTCCCATTATGTGGATTTCACCTCCTGACCGACGCTCCAAAAATAAACGTAAAAACAAAGACCAACAAATTAAACATGCCAAACCATCAAATTAGTGTTAGCCGCAAAGGATTTTCAAAACTATTCAAACAGAGTCCGACCTTCCGCCCCTCAAAAATAAATAAAAGGGGAAAAAAATTTGAAAAGAAAATAGGAAAATGGGAAAACCCCAAAAAACGAGAACACGCCATGGAAAAGACTAATTACACTCCACTAAAAACTTTAACGACGAGCGCCGGCAAATCTTGACGAGGGTTTTTCCAGGGAGGCTGGGGATTTTTGGAGGCGGCAACCGCATTGCTATAAAAGGAGAAATATTTGAGTGTAAACACAGCTTGCATCCAGGGTGCAAAGTGTTTTCAGGGGCGTTGCATGCCACACACACGCAACAGCCGCATCCCCGAGATACATTCGTATCTTTTGAGCTCTCCTAAACGGGCTCCCTTTCCCGAGCCAGACCGAATGTAAATGCGTCTGTCTGGCAAATCCGGCGATGGTTTGGGTTTTGGCTGTTCCAACTGCAGATGCATTCGACGCGAACGTGTCGAAAGTAAGCTGCAGTTGCAAGTGACAAAATCGCGCCCAGCTACGTGATCCAGCTTGGCGAAAACCACACTCCTTAGCATTTGCGCCGGTAATATATACATATGTACGGTCGGCGACTGACAGGGAAAACTATTTGTCACGGCATTCCTTCGGCGACAGGATTAAGTTCTCCCTAACTCACCCGCCTCCATTGTCCCGGCTTTTGTTGCAGATTTTTCTCGGCGGCAGTGGAAAGTGGGAAAAGTGGGGAAAAGCAAGCAGTAAAAATGCCAAAAAGGGAGAAGCAAACTGCACCTGATTTCCACAGAGTAGCTCTCAAAGTTGCATGTCGTTCTTTTTTATTTAAATGGAAAAAGTAAATAAGGAAAGATAGATTTCAAATAAATTTATTGGCAATAAGCAAATATTTATTTTTGGATTCGTACTAAATAAGGATTTATTCTAATGTTTATTTCCGTGCACAAAATCTATAAAAACGCAATTAAAGATCAACACTATTTATAACAAATACCTTTATGCAACCTGCGTTTATTTTGGGACTAAACTGAAAAACTCCTCTGAAATGTGTATACACTTCTTATTAAACCTGTTTGTTCATTGGACAAAATTCTGATAAGCTTTGTAATAAGCGTTTTTCAATTTATATTGCACAACAAAAGAGGTAAATTAAATTGAAATTTAAAAGGTTCTTTAGAATAAAATAATTATGATTAAAAACAATACAAAATATCGATAACGAAAAGCAATCAAAGAAAATAAGAGCTGTTTTGCTTAAACAAGACAAATAAATGTAAAAATAGAAACAACAAACGGACAGAACAATAGTGCGGCATGCTGATATGTGGAGCACGCCCTTTTTTAGTGCCACGCCCACTGTCCTCGGGGCAAGCCAAATGGAATGGAATGGAAGTGAAGGAAGAGGAATAGAAACATGTGTCTACTTTCGCATCGGCGCCAAAAGGAAACTTCACACAAGTGAGGCAAGCCAGCATGCATTAAAAATCCACGCTTCCGGCAGGAGTTTACCCCCAAAAGGCAACATGCGCCAAACCCCCTCCCCCAAAAAAAAAAAAGGAAACCACCCCCAATGCAGGTTTTCAATAAAAAGATACACAAGCATACATAAATAAGGGAAGAGCTAAATCTAGGGAATGGCAAATGCATTTGGAGTGTTTGCGGCAAATGCCAAAATGAAATACATATTACTTAGCAACAAAAAAGCAAGATTACTTTGTGCATCGCAGAGTCTCGACTAAAGGTTACTCAGTAATTAATTAATGGTAATAAATATATTAAAAAAAAATATATATTTTTAAAGGTTTAAAGAGTGTAAAGTTATTAAAATATTAGAAAGTTCAAGATGGTTTTGAAACATTTTAAGTGTTTTAAGACAATTTTAAAACTGAGTCAAGAAAGTCTTTTTTGAGTTGAGTCATTAGTTATTAAAAATAATGTTAAAGTATTTATATTCCTGATTAATTTTTTTGTAAGGCTATACAATTTTATAAGCTTTATATACCCACTTAATCTGAAACTGAATGGGTACACAAACAAAAAGGGAATGAAGTTTTATTTTGTTTTGCTGAGTTGCATTTTTGTTTAGCCAGAGGATGGAGCACGCAGGGATATGTATATATCATGACCGATTTAGCAAAGGAAAGTTTTTTCTTTTTCAGAACTTTTTTTTTGTTTAAAAATTTAATATCGCTGCAGGACATTTTTCATGTTCGGTTGAGTGTGACAGCCGTGCCCGAGGGGCTTTCGGAGATGTTTTGTAATCCGCTTTTACAATAATGAAAGAACAAATTGAAAAAACTCATTTTAAAACCTGTGCATTGCTGGAATTCCACAACATTTATTTGATGCAAATCCATCCAGGCGAACTATGCATGAATGGACGGATGATTTGGCTTTCTCTAAAGCGCTGCTTTTTATTATATCCAGTTGAAAACTTTTAAAGCCGAACCAACTTTGCAATCCGGTTCGCCCACTACTTGATCCTTGGTGAGCTGTAGTGTAAGTGCGCCTGGAACAATAAATCTTGTGCAGCGAATCAATAAAACTTGCTAATTTTCCGCTCCAATTAGCTGAGTATATACTCTTCTCAACAAATCTCGGCAAATGGCGAGGGATAAAAGAAATAAGTTTGCACAATGGCGAAACAACTTCCAGAAGAGCAGAAAATAGTAAAACTGGTTGTAAGGATGTTCGTGATTTTCTTTCTATTTTTTCCTTTGATTTTTATAACCTTGGTGGGTTTTTATTCTCCACTAGAGAAAACAAACAATAAACAAGGACAAGCATTATTAAGTTTATGCATACATTTCTTCTATGGAGTGTATTTTGACCTCACTAATAAACATTCAAATGTGAAAACTTGAATTCGCGTTGCATAAATGAAAGCATTATGATAATTTGCATTATAATAAAACTGATTTCCATTATCTGTCTGCCATTAATGGCCAAAAATGCTTGTGCAGCTAATAGAAAAATCACTAAAATACATGTTTATGGATTCAATTTTTATTATGTGTATTCAATTTATGAAAATCTCTGCTTAAAAATAACCAGCAAACCAAATATTTAAATGCATATGCAGAGAATGCGTCGAATTAATTCAAAGTCATATATTTACTTGTTTGTGGGAAAGTTTGTCTGCTCTAAAAACATACCAACTGAACTGAAAATTCAAGTAAGCATTTCTGCAGTATATGTATATATATTTGCACCTTAAACTCCTTACGACCTGCAACTTATGGACCAGATTGCAAATTTAATTTAAAGATCAATCGGAATTCTGTTGAACAAGTAGAACAATATTTATTCAAGCAGATATCACTTGTGTGCTGCAGCATTGCAACCATTTGGTGGCACACCACCACAACAACACCAACAGAAATAGCAGCAACTTTATGGCTGATTTGTAGCATGCACCAAGCAATAATTCAATGTTCCACGAAGGGAAGGGAATCGAGGAGCAGGAATGGGGATAAAGCCACGATGGCAGGAAGGAGACAAAAGGCTTCATTGCTGGGATATCCCAACACCTTCGACAATGTCGCTGTCAATGGGGCGGGTTGCGGAGCTTGGGGTTTTTCAGGGGGCGGGGCAGGCGCCGGCTGCTTGCAACTGCAATCTGTCTGGCCTGCCAATCTGCCCCTGCCGCCAGTCTGCCTGCTAGCCTGCCCCTCATCCTGCCATCGCCCCCTTTTGCCATAAGGATTCAGCACATAAGGATTCCCGGGATGAGAAGTCACAGTCACCTCCTCCTTGAGTGCTGCAGCAACGGCAATCGGTTGCACCTTCGAAGCGTGCCTGTGTTGCACCACCAACAGCGTCAACAAAAACACATTTACATACCCAGCTACACTTCAGGTAGAGATGATGAAGACGTTAAATGTTCGAGCGATCTTTGTCATAATTATTGAAACGAAATAACCTTAATATTATCATTTCACTTTGGTGAGCAGTGACAGAATTCTGAGTAATTTACAATATATTTAAAAAATATTATTTTTGCCTTTGGCCAGAATAATAATTAAATATTCATTTATAATATATTTATATTAGTATAAAAAACTAAAAGTGTGTCAGTGAATCGAAGAATGGAATATGAGTAAATTGTTTCAAAATTAATTGATTAAAAAGTTAGATTTTCCAACATGGTTGGTTGACTTAAATTATTTGTGTAATTTAAAAGGAATTATTATAATATTTTATGAACTCCCGGGTACAAAACTCAAATCTTATCCATCTCAAACTCACGATTCCATCACTGACACTCCGCGCGATATAAATGAATATGCATTGCTTTTTCTATATTTGTAAGCAGATGATCTGCCCTCCCTCGATGTTCCTCTGTTGCATTTTGGTGTTTATTTTTTTGCCACTACGCTTGGCAACATTGCAATTTGTTCTGGATCCCGCTCCCTTCATTTTCCCTCGCTTCATTTCCAACCATCCCTTATGGCACTCCCTGTTTTTTTTCGGCTTGACTGTGAAAAGTTCCTTCAACTTCACCTTGTGTTGCGTTTGCGTTTTGTCATTGCCATTATAATTGATAGCAATATAATTTCGTACCGTCGCAGTTGCAGTCACCGTGTCCGTTCTCTCTGGCTCCCTCCTGGATTTTATGTAAATTTTTCGTGCAAATTGCTTTTAATGCATTTTGAATGCAATTTGTGTTTTGTATGCTGGAACTGGAGTGGCGCACACAAAAACTCGTAATTGAAACTGAAAGATTTTAATTTAATTTGAGTTTCTGTTTCTCTTATCGCAGCCTGACTCTGTTATTGTGTTTGCCTTCCGACGAGGCGGTTGTTCCGTATTTCGTATTCCGTACTCCCTACTCCGTATTCCGTATTCGAGTTTTCCGAATTCCCAGCTTCCATCTCCCGGTTTCCCCGAGCTTCTGTGTATATATTTTTAGCTCTGTTCGCCGGCATCATCGTCATCATCCAGAAAAGCCCATGCGGGATGTTACTTCCTTCTGCCTGTCTGCATCTGCATCTGGCTGCCTGCATTCTGGCTGGAGCATTCAGATTCATTGAATTGATTTAGATAAAATCACCGTGTGTCTGTGTCGTGTGTTGTGTATATTTTTGTTGATTGCGCAACGCCCTGGCGAATGCAACTTCATTATGCCGCATTTCGTGTGGCACCGATTGGCGGCACATGTGAATGCTGTTCCGGCTCATCATAGATACATTTGAGGTGTTTTGCGGCACCACCACCACCACCACCACCTCCTCCCCGAGGATTTGGGGTTGACATCAAACGAGCGTGTAAGTGTGGGCCTGGGATCCAGATTTATGAGATGCACTCCATGAGGCATATAAATCTCAATCTGGCACCGCAAATTGGGCGGTCTGGGGGCCTCCGGTGGCGTGAGATAAGACTTTAATGAAATTTTGGGGACTTGATTGTCTCGCTCATCAAGTGATTACAATACATTGTTATTTACTTCCATGTTTTTTAATTTTATTGCCACCTGAAAATTAGAGATTAAAAATGCTTCAAAATATCTGTTCAGATTTAACTCAATAAAAAATCTAGTAGAACTTTTGCACTTTTGACTTATTAGATTTATTTAATCTTCATAAACTTTTATCCAAATTTATGAAGTTAGCGATGACCCCTGTTGAAACTCTCACCTTGCCGCTGACTAATAAACAATCAAATTAAATTCTTCTCCACGTAAACGAGATTTGCATAGAAAACTCGCAGGAGAAATGCTGTTAATGAAATTAATTACAAGTTCATAGAGTTTATTTTTGAGCTGACTTACCAAACAGGAATTATGTTGAATTTTACTGGAAAATCAAAAACTTTTTCCTGCCAATCTAGTGCCTTTTTGTTGAACTTGAGCGAGAAAGCCACTTTGAAATGGCCACCGAATAGTGAACAAAAAAGGTTGCCATGGGCCACTCACAAAAGAGGATTTCATTTGGCCATAAAGGTAATTTTTTAATCCCACCCATTGAAAGCCACATAAGTGGGATATCGGGAGTTTGGGGCCGACCTTTTACAACCTTCAAATGAACAGGCAGTTTTAGGGCCATATTCTCTAGCCAAATAACAATTTAATTATGAACATACTCAGGAGCTACCTCCTCACCAACTTCTCCCACTCCCTCTGCCACTCCCACTCCGGATTCAAGGACAAATTATAGCCATAAAGCTTGTGTGGCCAGGAACGGCAGAGCCTTTTGCCTGTGGGATAAGCTAAGAGCTCATTAATGTCACATTCACGGCAACTCCGGAAAGAGCATAAAATGAGCAAAAATTCTATCAGAGTAGCCCCACAACTGGGACCAAACTCCATTTAAATTGAGTGCACACAACAAATTGTTGTGTGTGTGTTTTTGTGTGTGTGTGTGAGTGTTAGCCAGTGTGTGGGCCTGTCAGGCAATTAACGTGGGACCCTCACCCCAAATGCTGCAGTAAAATAATCAAAATTAGCCAGAAAAGCCACCAACGTTTTTGGGTCTTTTGGGCTGCAATTAATTTTCAGTAATATCTTTGCTTTTCGCCCATTTCCTCACTAAACGATTATTTGTATATAATAGAGTGGCGCATTTTAACTCTCGAAAATTAAATTTACTGGTCTTTAATAATGTGGAATTAAACTGTGTAATTAGACTTCTTAAAAACTTGAGCTTTTGTTAAAATTCTGAGAGTGGATTTTATTAAAAATAAACTATCCGAAAACCACACAAACTAATTATTTTTTATTGTGTTATTTCATATTGAAAGTATATAGAAAAAAGTGCATTCAACATACATTCTGACTTATAGCTCTAAGCTGCCTTTGAAGTCTGGTCATTCTGTGCTCTGTGTTTCTCTGGATGAATTTATGTTTACCCGTCCCTCTAATTAAATTTAATATGCATATTGCCATGGCATTTGAAGTGGCCAGACACGGTCTAAGTTCAAAGGGGAACGAGATGGCTAGATATAAAGTAGAAGGGAGAGAAGGAGAAGGTGCGACGTATAGCTTGCGGTTGGTCTGCCTGTATATATGGGTAATAAATTTGATTAGTAGGATTTACGGGCCGGGCCAACGTTCAAATGCTTCTCGGTGCAGTAAATTTTATGCTAAACAGCAATGAAAAAAGCCTGGAAAAAGCGGGTTGGCCAAAACGGAGGGTTGCGATGTGGTTTGTTGAAGTTTCCTTTGCTCTTGTTGGCTCTGTCTCGCTTTTCCCTTGCTGTTTTTAGTGTTTTGTCTTTAACGTTGAACGAGTTGTTGAAATAAAAGGTTTATAGCATACTTTGAAGAGCCTTTCCATAAACTCGCCATCAAGCTGAGAGTCAGATAGAAGGGAGTCCAATGTAAACAAAACCACAAGGGATACAAAACATTGTGATCCATATGCAAAAATGAAAACTTTCTATGGGTTGTGCAAAGGTTTTTCCCCATCCAGTTTTCACTGTCGGCCAAAAAGTATGCAACACATCACTGAACCCATCATTAACATCATTATCGGTCCATATAGCTGCCAAGAAACCAGAAGAAAAATCAGCAAAATTATGCCAAGGCCCAGGGGCCGAGATTATGCGATAAAGCACATACACACCCACTAACACACACACACACGAACACCACGGGAAGTGGAATTGAGATGGCCAGGCTATATCCTCCGATCCCGAACGGGCCGCTCCACTGTTTTGTGCCTTTCTGCGGCTTTCAGCCGCACAGCATGCTGCCATTTTGCTGCCTGTCGAAAACTCGAAATGAAATGCAGTCAACGCCCTAACTTCTGACACTCCCACAACCGCACAATACACTGAAAAAACTGAAGACTAAATTCTATCGAACAAAATTAAAGCAAAGAGTTAAAAAATGGAGATAATTGTGTACCGAAAAAATTATAGTTGAATCCCTATTAAACTCTTGAAAAGTAGTATAATTGGATTGAATATCTAGGTTCTAAGCTTAATCTAAAAATTTTGGTTTATTCAATTAAAAAAATATTAAAAAAAGGAATTTTTAAGCATTAAAAGAAATATGAAATTTATTGCCAGTGTACGTCGGCTCTTCAGTTAAATTATGCGCATTGGGCTTCTTTGGGTACTAAAATTATTTCGCTCTCTAGCTCATGTTGGGCTGATGATGATTCCCCCATCATCACGGCTTCCTTTGTGACTCTGTTTGTGGCAAAAGTGAAAAGAATTTTCTGTTTGCTTGCCAAAAGACCAAAAAAAAAAAAAAAAAATTCGCAAAAAATGCATTTTGATTATTGGCGCTGCTGGGACATAAATCTGCATTCGAAATTGCAGAGTGCATCAATTCAAGCGAGATCTGAACTGGAATATTTCAATAAGATTTAAATTTAAGAGCTTAATGACATGTTCGTTACTTTAATAGAAATTCTCTTTTCTTTTATTGCAGGTAAGCTTCATGGAATTGCAAATAAAATACTATATGAGTTTTACAGTAGGAAGAATTGTCTTTCCTAAAATTGATTTGTGAGTAAAAGATTTAAAAGACTATTACATATTTAAAATTAACGTTCAACTGTAAAAATTCTTCTTATTATAAATTGTTTTCACCATCGCGACTTTGATCAATTCACGATTAGAAATAACTTATTTTATTGGTCAAACTATCAGTGAACTTAATCTAATTACAATATCCGATAATGACCAAATTAAAGCAAAGTTTTTAATGAGAATATCGCATTCATTACGATACATTTTCAACAGGATTGTATAATGTGTGGAAAAAGGAACACGAAAACTTTAATAAGCACACCGCACTTTCAGCTCTGGGAAATAATAAATCAGTGTAAATTCCTGGAGGGTAAATGGGTAAATAGCCATCGATGTGAATGGAAATCGGAATGGGAATAGGAGGTGTCACCGGCGCATTAACATAACAGTTATGTGCACATTAAGTGTACATTATGTTCCTTAATCCAGACAATAAAGCACACAACAATGCGGCAACAGCAAATGAATGAAATTATGCAACAATTTTACAACAAATCAATGAACTGCATTCGCGGCTCCTCATTCCGGGCTAAATCAGCCAACCATTTGGGCCTTGAATATAAATGCAATAATGCCAAACAGTTCCAGGCATTAATGAAATGAAACGTTAATGCCCAACGACAGATGTTCGATTGAGTGTATAATCGTATACGGAATTAGGTCAGCGATTAAATCGAAATATGTTTTACAACAAACGCACACACATATGTAGGTATATATAGATTAGCGTGGGAATTTTATTATAATCAATCCAATGAAAAACTGATTTATGGCTTTGTATATATATTCCATCTTAATGCCGAAGTCGCGCCAAGTAGTTGAGTATTTCCGCCTTACTTTCCGCCATGGACATTGCAGACCCGGCAATCTCCGTTGATAATCACATTGCCAGGATTCAGAGGAGTGGCTATTTGAAATATCAGTATTATTATATTGTTAAAAAGCAATCAATGAAGGTATATTTACCGCTAGCCAGAGCCAAAAGGCCGAGCAGGAAGGCAACCGAAAGGAATTTCATTTTGAAGTAGCTAGAACAGAAGTGAGAACTGAACTGATGCCTTTACCAGTGACAACGATCAGCTTTTATACCTCTCGAATCCTAAGGGGTCTTATCAGTGTTTTTGTTTTTGCGGATCGGGCAAAACCGCATTGTTGATTTAACGTGTGGTATTGCCCCACGCTGAATGTGAAAATCCCATAATCTCAGGTCTATGTCTCTTCGATTTCAGGTTCAATTAGCTGCAGTTAATTGCACCTGAACTCGGCCGTATGCGCTGCGCCTCTTCTGAAGAAATGTAGAACTCGTTTGCTAATCGCGACGGATTGACAAGCTTTCCAGGCAATCGCGTAGTATAATATCTGGTTTGGGTATAAAGATACGTCAAAGCTCGTGTTGATCAACTGGTTTTTTTACGATGGTTCTTTGACTTAAATTTGTTTTGTATTTGTCAGAATGAATGCAGGGTTCCAGGGAAAAATATCTGTCTGAGATTTAGTCTAACTGACAACACTTAGAGATATAATCACTCAGCTTATGACTTCTGTCTTGCATTTATTTCATAATTTAAATTTACTAAGTTACAATTTCATGCTGTAGTATAAAATTAAAAAACACACATTTCTTATAAATACTTACAATTTTAAAAACTTTTTATGAAAATAAAATTTTATTACGGGAATCTTATAATTTGGATAACTAGAATATAACCTAAGCTAGTTTTAAACTATCCCAAGAATAAAAAAAAAGAAACTGAAACCATTATTGTTTTTACGTTCTTTTATTAAGTAATTTCCATGTTTTGTTGTGCAGTGTGAGCTTAATCGGAATTACAAAATTCAATATTAATTCGATTTGTTGATAAGGTTTAATTTAGTTGGTTTAGGGCCGTGTTTGCGCACTCCAATGTAAAGGCAGGGCTAAAAATAAATATTTAAAAATTAGTTAGCAAATTTGTACATTGTGTTATAATTTTTAATTTAGAAAAGTACAATTTTTAACCAGGCGGAAATAACTTTTAGAAAAAGGAAAACAATAGAAAATACACTCGGGTACAACGAAAGCGTGTTGTTTTTATTATGATTCACTTTTAATTTTTAATTACGTGTTTTAATATGTCATGGAATATTTTAATATGTTTTAATATGTCTTGGAATATTTTATTATTATTGAATTCTGCCTCATTGTTTTAAACATATGTTCATAGTTTTTTGTTGGGAATTATGCAAAAATGTTTTATTTTCATTTTTTATTTTGTTGTTAAAATTGTTACCATATTTCTTTATTTTCTGGAGGTAAAACTGTCATCACGATGAACAGGGCAATTTTAAGAAAGTTTATGTTGAAGATTTTCATATTAAACGTTTTTGATTGCCGACCAAAGTTGAACTGACCCTTTTTGTCCTCGGTATATATGTTTTTATACCAATTACAAAAACACTAGAAATTTCCGTTATCGTCGCATAAATTCTCTGAGGAATCTACATTTCTTCTACTTTATCGTCAACTGCAGACGGAAATAAATATGAGAAATTGTAGTGGACTTCAAGCCCATCAGAAGCTTTACAGAAACTCTCATAAAAATGTGCGTCATACATTATATTTTATCAGACTTTATGTAGGTCCCTCAAGTCCATTAGGAATGCCACATAATTATTTTAATTGCTTTCATGTTTCTTTTAATAAACTTACTTTGAGTCACAATACTAAATTTTATTGGAATGACTTTTTATATTTCAAGGAACGCCTCGTATAAAACCATTGAAAAATCGTAATTTTGTTTGTATCCAAGTTAATTTTTTTGCTGAAGCAGTGAAAAAGAATTCTACTTTATAAAAAAGGAGGGGGCTAAAAAGTGCAGTTCGTTAGTCAAAATGAAGACAGCAAAAAGAAGTAAAATTGAATTACCTTTTGCCTGTTTATACATTTTTAAACTTTCTTTAATCTTTTATCGTTATGTTTTACTTTATTTTTGGCAGATAAGTTGATATTTGAAAAAGACATGCAAAGCTCAGAAAAAATGTCAGTATTCCTTCCTCCCCATTGTTCAACACCAATACATTTTTTGTTTATTGGCAAATCATGAACCTGTCGTTAATAAATATTTCACAAGAACAGCAACATTGTCATCTATCAGTTCACTTAAAAGTCCATTAGCTTAAGTCTATTAAATGAAAATGGGCGGGCTTAAAAGAATTGATTGAAAAATGCAACCAAAAATGATTATCAAATTAATAATGCAAACCATATACATGTACGTTTCTAAGAACATACTGATGTAGGCACGTGTGTATATGGGATATGCTGTTAGAGCTGTTTAATCAAATTACGAACCGGACTGCCCCAGACAATAAAGTTAATTAATTTACTCTGCATGGACTTGGACTTGGTTGACGTTCGGCTCTGCCAGGAGCTTTGACAAATGCATTGGATGAAGTCCTGTCAGGTTGCGGTGGTGCGGAGGTGAGGTGCGTTGGCAGTAAATTAAATTTAATGGAAAATGTTTTACCGGCTCTTCGGCAAAGTGCAGTTCATAATTTCAGGCTTGCCATCGTCTCCCCGGGAGATGGTTTAAATATCCTGGCGTCGGCTTGAGGACATAACAAGTATGCAAATCACGAACGAAATTCGATTATAAAATATTAATCTATTAATTTGTATTCCACCCACTCAATTGAGAGCTGCCCTGCCGGAGTCATTCATAAATCAAAGCGAAACCTGTTAATGTTTTATTGTGATAAGGGGGCTTCTTAAACATTTACTCGACACTTTACGTTGTATAATCACAGGCCATTTACGGTTGTCGATTTTCGTGCCGCAATTTATGCTAATTTAGTTATAACCTTTCTTGAACCCCGAAAATGGTTTTTGGAACACCCACACACACACGCATAAGCTGGGAACAATACATTAGTGGGTTACTAACGGTACCCGGCCGCCATTTTGTGTAACAACTGCAAATCAATGCCCTGACATGTGAAAAATGGCTGCCAAAGGCGAGGCTCCATTGTTGTATGTCTATTATAATATTGCCATATTATTTTATGCATGCAACTGTGTCTATGGGTTCCTCGTGTCTGTGTGTGAGTGTGTGTGTAGGGCACACACCCATACATACACACATTTGTGATTGTGTCTGCATTTTCGTAATCAAGCTCATGATAAATCGTTTGCGCAAAATTTATTGAGTTTTTGCATGACACCACCAAAGCGACAGCAGCTGCAGCATTGAACACCAAACCCATAATAAGAGTGATGCCAAGGAAATGTTATTTGGGTGTCTATTCCACTTCATCCATATTATTTTGCATATTTTCTATCTCCCTAATGTTCCTAATATAAGTTAAATATTGACCCTAGTTTAAAGTAAGAGATTTCGGTTGAATTTCAAGAACTTTAACTTTCTTTTTAAAGTTCTATCAATAAACTAAAAACACATTTCCTGTAAAGTTGAAGTTCATTTTATAATATGCAAATCTAAGCAATTTTTCCCTCTTACCAATTTACTGAGAACAAAAGATAAAAATCAATTTTCGACTTCGGACCATTCATTCGGATGTAAATTGCAGAATTGAATTTTCTGTACGCATGCTACGCATACGTGTGTGTGTGTGTGTGTAAATTATATTGTACTATTTTCGAAATTTCTCGACTTGCGTGCAACGAATCGAATGGTGACCATCGTTATCGTGTTTGTCCAGCTGCTGCAGCAATTTCTTGAACAAAAATGAGCCGAAAATGTCTTTGTGAAAATTGCTTACGTTATATATGTATTTAAATATATACGAGTATGTGCGGAAGGCCAAGGATATATGAAAAGAAATGTCCTCTCAGCTTGAATTGAGATATATTTTTTAGGCTACTCCAAAAATGATTGATGACCAAGACGATTGAATTTGATTTTCCTCCCTTTTCGTATTTGAGGAAATACATTCACTATAGTTTCATGTATATTTAAATAAATTGCTTGCTTGTTTCGACTAGACCTTGCGCATCAATTTATTTAATTTATTTGCCTGTGTCTGAGCCACAACCATTTAAATATTACATAGCTTTACACTTTTACTTTTTCTTCTAAGCAATAAATGTATGCCGAAATAGTTTGAATACGTGCATATTTAAATTCCCTTTAAGATCGAGATATTTCAACACACTTTTTTTCTCATATACAAATGACGCGTTTATTAACGACATGGCATGGTTTAAATGTAGGGATTTCCAGAAAACATTGTTATCAGCATATTTTTCACTTAGCATGAGGAATAAATGCAGTGGGAATTAAGTGGTGATTCCCCAGAAAAATAACTATAGATTAACAACTAAAAAAATTAAATTTAATGATTTCAAACATTTTTGCTAATATTCAAAACAGCCCAATTTAGGGTGAAGTCATTACAGATTAGTTTTCTGACAATGACGAAGACCGAAACACTCGAATCAGATCATAAAATCACTTGAAACGAAGGGAGAATGGACACCGGAGTGGGTAATGTCACTCGTCTTCGGAACATATCGTCAATAAAGACAGAAATTATGAGTGACTACTCTTGACTTACTTGGGTATTAGACTCATCCAAGCTCCTCTCCAAAAATTATATTTGAAATATGGCAGACAAAATGGGATCCCAACAAACGAATGACAAATGTGCCGAGTGAAGTGGTGTCTGGTGTGTTCGTTTCTGGTTCTGTGGTCAATGTGCAGTGCATGAGCCTGAATGAAAACTATTAGCCCGACATGCTGGGCGGTTCGGGCGGGGGAAACAACATCATTGTGCAGTTGTTAGGTGACTCACAGCCAGAAAAGCGACAGGAACCGAAGTACTCCATGTCCAGTGTCCATCTGCCGGCAGAGAACAAGTTTTTTGGCTTTTCACTCGAATGAACCGCAACCCCTGACCATGGGTCAGCAACTGATGCAACTCCGCCCTGCTAAAATTACACAAATAACAAATATTGAAAATCTGTATGCTAAAGTACGATTAAAGTTCTTTTAGTGAAGGTTTTTCTATTACAACTTTGAGTGATGTTTAAATACATATAATCGTGATTGTGAAGTTAACAAAAATGGGAAGTGCTTTGACTGCAAACACCTGCTTTTT